GTGTGAGATTTTTTTTACCTGTGACCTTTCACAGTGATCTATCGTGCCGAATCTTGAACTTGATCTCTTACTTTTGAGGTCTTTTGACGATTAATAAAACTGAATTTAAAAATATCGTTCGTATCGAAAGTTATAGCTTGGACAGACGACATAGCGTTCCCGTAAAGTGGTTGGCGCTACTAAATAAAAGTGAATGTTGTACAAAAAAAATTTAAAAAATTACCGTTTTTGTCGAGAGTTTTTGGGTGGTAAGACGGACAGACACACAGATGGACCGACGGACATAGGGTTCCCATAAAATGTTGTTATCAAACTAAGGTTTTTTTTAATTTTTAACAAATTTCATAAAAATGGACCCTGTGCATAAATGGTGGCATCACGCCGAAAAGCTGGCTAAAAAATCCTGTATGCACGACCCCCTCTCGATTTTCTTTACTCAAATCCTCCACCCAATTTTATACTTGCTTGTTATTTTCACTAGTCAATCACTTCTCCTCCTTCGCCGCGGGGGCCAAACCGAATTTACATAATATAATATGTACATACATATCTCCAACTGATACGATTTAGCAAATTTGCAAAAATTAGCATACGAGGAAGAGACTCAGAGTGGACATAAACCAGCCGGAGAGGATTCACCAAAAAAATACCACCGCAAAAAAGACAGCCCCCGTAAAAGACAGTTGGATAAACATTTACGATTTCCCGATAAAAAAATTCTGAGGATTTGCTATGTAGTCGGATTAGGCAGGATTTTTTACTTAAAAAAATGAATGCTATTCTGCGAGCCTTGCTTGAACGATGTCATTGGGCGTACTCACGTCACCATCTCATTTACATATTTCAAGTTATGTAGCAAATAATTTCCAAAATAATATCGCGAAATATTTAGTAAACATAAATCTGCATCACTTAAATGTCGTTTAATGTTTTTTTAAGAAAACTAAATTAGCAAATAAACAATGGATTTTTTAAATTTCGGTCGGTTTTGTTTCGTTTATTTTTTTGTTGTTTCAGAATTGTTTTCGTTTTGTTTATAATGTGATAAAATCAGCAATAAACAATAAATAATGCAGCCCTAATATTTAAAAGCAAGCTGGATAAATTTGTGATAAAAAACACACAAAAAAGTTGTGTCCTCACATCAACACCATCGCAACTTAATTTGCAAATAGTTTGCGGAATGTGTCCCTTTGCGAAATAAGAAATTGCCCATTTCCTCCGTAACTAGATATCTGCGATAAGAAAACGCCTAGTTTCCTGGGAAAAGTTTACCACCAAATCCATCAAAACTTGTCAAAATTTCCAAATTTCCAAACTTGTAAGCATATAATTCTCCCCAAATGTCTCATTAGTTAACTTCCCACTTAAAAAAGTGGACAGTTTTCACACCCGCAAAAATTTTCAAGCAGAACATTCTCCAGTAAAAAAAAAAGCAAACCGCTCCCGAGTAAAAATTTGATCGGCTCAATTTCCTGCCGAAATTTGGCCCACATTTCTCCAGAAACAATTTTATGCCACGGAATTTATGCAGAAAACTGCACAGTTAGAAATCTAGTATAGTCAGTATTAAGTTGCTACCGTTTGGTATTAGAATTATACCCATCCGTAAAAAAATTTCTACCGATATTATAAAAATTTAAAACCGAGCTACTACTACAAGGTATTACTTATCAATACCAAGTTGATATTATTTTGATACTGAATTTCTAAGAGTGTATGCACATACCATTCTGCAGAATAAAACCGATACAAATTTTGTACAGAATCATACAAAAAATATAAAATAAAATATGCATTTTCCCTTTTTGTCGATTCCTGCAGGATTCGACACATCGATTTCTACTCGGGCTGTTGTCCTTAACGTCGTCTCCCTACTGGAAAAAGTTAGTCGAGCATATGCACATCTTTTCCCCGTCGGCGTCCCTTTTTTAATCCGCTCTTTAACACTGACACGTTACTAAATCTTGTTACTTTTTCCGTACTGTAAATTTACAAACTATTAACATAATCATCATCATCATCATCCTCATCATCATATCTGCCATGTAAATTGGTTTCCAAATTTGCAGATTATTTTCAGCCAGAGTAAATATTATTCTTGCAGCGATAAAATTTTTTTTGCCCACATCGCGTCTAAAACCACACCGCAAATCATCATGCACCGTTCACGCCGGATGTGGCGACAACTTTTCTAATCCTCGTCGTACTCCTACCATATGACCTTTGACCCATGTCACATGTCATGTTTTGCGGTGGATTTATATGATCGGAGACAAGTGGTTAACATGTGTTACCGGTGTGGAAAAAAGCCTCTAGAGATTTTTGGCATAAAAATCAACCCAACAATTTGGGTACACTCTAAGAAATTTTACCACCGGACTGTCACCGAGCGGTGACTATATGTGACTCTACCGCAATGGTGGTCACCAACCACCGTTCGGTGATAGAAACTGCCATCACCATCGTGGTGGTAGACATCTACCGGGTGGTGGTAGAAGGATGTACATTTTTTATCTCCGCGCGGTGATATGCCACCACCATAATTAGCTCGCCTTTTCACTGTCTGGTGATAGATATGTAAGTAAACATAAATTTGGTACTTCATACAAAAATGTCACATTTTTCACAATTTATTGCTTTATTCAAATATCTAAAAAGATAATTAATATTTTACATGTATGTATATATGTAAAACCTATGTCCCTCGCCATTGTGGAATTGGCCCAGCAATTGAAGTTGTGACTAGTTTCCAGTCACGCCATAGGACACTGACTGAAGTTAATTAAAGTTTAAAATAATTAACTTTCATTTAGATCGGTCAAAATATCAGGCTTTATTGATTTATCTTTACCGTTAAAACAACCTTGCCACAAATTTACTTATTTGCAGAGATTCCGTTGTACTATCGAGATTTTTTGAAGTGCAACCAGTGACCACATTTATTACATTTGGCCGACCAATTAGAAAAAATATATATTAATTAATTATGTGCAGATTCAACAAATCAGCTATTAAATTTTATGCAAATATTACCTCGTCGAAATACTTCAATTTCGGCACTTTCTTCGTCCTCTAGATCCACGTCCAAGTTAAATTTCTCTCCAACTAGAAAAGAAACAAAATTAACTTGGCCAAAATTAGCTAACTTTTAATTTTTATTTTTTTACCTGTGCCATTAAATTCACGATAACTGTTTGGGCACGGTATTATTTTTTTCCTCTTAAACTTTGAAGTACGAAGTAGTTTGCAACTCCGCTGCTTGTCAGCTGCTGTATCTGGTACGTGGAGCGTGGAGTAGGACAAACTTGCCCCTCTGCAAGTCACGTGTATAACGAAGCTACCACCATGGTGCGGTGGTAGTAGCAATCACCACCAATGGTGACAAATTTCGGTGATAAGTTTATCACCATTACGGTGATGCTTGCTATTTCCACTCGAGTGGTGATAACGCCTATCACCCAGTTTCTTAGAGTGTACTGTAGAATTTTGGAATATATTTTTTAATTTTTGTTTTTTTTTACTTTAAAGTCTCAAAAAATAAATCCATTTTTTTGTATAGAAGTCAACCCATAAATTGGGACAGCTTCACAACTAAAATCAATTTTTTTACATAAAAATCAACCCATAGTTTCAATTTCAAATTATCAGAATTTTTTGCTAATTTTAGAATTTTTGCTTTTTGACTTAAAATAAAATAAACTTTACTTGCATAAAAATCACCCCAGAAATTACGACAGCTTTAAAAATAAACTCAATACTTAATCAACTCAAAGTTTCTCAAATCCTAATTTTTTTATAGTTATCACCTCAATCAAACTTTGACCATCCATATCTTTTGAACCGATAGAGTAAAGTTTTTTAATAATTTTAATTTTTTACTCGACTCCATACCGAAAAATCGACCCATTTCTCAAATCGATTAAAAAACCTGTCTTCAAAAACCGGAACGTAAAACCTGTCACGCTTTCTGCACAGCCTTTCCTCTTGTAAATATCCATTCATTCGATTCAATTCATTCCTGAGACGGATCCAGACTGCGAAACAGAAGGCAATTTTTGACAATTTCATCCCAATTGGAGGAGTGGGCTTAGCTGAAATCCTAAAATATTGGATTATGAAACGAAACCCCTCGCGCCCCATAAATATTTCTCTCTTGGCGAAAAAAACGGACTGACTGACTGACTGATATACAGTTTACTAAACAAACACACCACTCGAATTAGCTGCCCAACTCTTTCCTTCCGTTTTCTGCCTGCTTATCTAAACACACGCCCCTCCAATCCAATCCGATTGAGTAGTTGCATTACAAGGATGTAGCATTATACCTCAAGTTTTGCCAAAACTAAACGGAGGAAAAATGCATACAAATTGCAACACTTTTGCATAAAAATGAAACACCCGGGGGATACGTTTCATATCGTAAAAACACCAACACTTGTAACTAACAAATTCCTTAATTATTTTGTAAAATGTTTACTGTCATGGAACCACTTGGATTTTTCGAAATTTCTAAAATCTGGGAATTTTCATTTAAACGAAATCGGTTAAAGTATTTAAATAGATATGTGTTTAGTTTTAGTTTATATTTTTCCGGATACTTTTCATGAAGAAGTAACACTTATAATCAATTCTTTAATTATTTTCGAAATTATCATTAATTTTTGAAATTTGCAACCCCAATGGTAGAATTTTGTTGGATTTTTTTACACATTAAAAAAAATATGTTTATTTTGTGAATATTTCAACAATGTAGGACTAATTATTTTCCTCAAACAAATTGGATCACAAAAAATCCAGAAATACAAATTTTGCGAAAATTATTATTTAATGTTTTTTCTACATATACATATTTTTACATTTTTACATAATATTTCTTCACCAAAATTCCTTTATATTCTACCTCCTTAAACTAAATTCTACCATAAAACCAAAATTAATGTAAAAATTTTCAACTTTTTTTCAAATTTTTTACCATATCTATTAAAAAATTCCCTTACCCAACGCCAGTTCGCAAGACGGTCCAAAGAAAACGTGCACATTTCCCTCATTCATCGTCGCTCTCGTCGCTCTCATCGGGGCGAAGACGTTGGAACACTGCGAGTCGTGATACGTGAGAGCGATCCGATACTGCGGGAGCAGTTGGAGGCGTCGCACGGTCTCAAATCCGAGCAAAATAGCGGGTCCTACCCGCTTCAAGGAGGGCTGATAAGTGTGATTAAAGGGCAACAAGACCGTCACGTTGACGACCTTATCTTCATCCCCGGTTTCCTCCCACGGGGGAATTTCTTCCGGTGCTAGCTGATGAAAAGGAGCAATTTCTCGAGCCACGACACTTTTATTGTTCTCCTCCAGAAAACAACGGCCACCCGGAATCAGACAGCAGAGACAAAGTAACGAAATTATGGACAGATCACGACAAGTCGGGGGACAACTTTTCGACTTCTTGACGTTCATTTTGACACAGGTGCACATTTTTAGGGGAGAAGTTAACCCAAATTTTCTTCACGCATTGATTTCTTCACGCAATCACTAATTTTAAAATTCACTGCAAAAATACAAAAAAATGTCAATATCCTTGGAAAAATTGCACGGCCGAATTTTCACCGGAAAATGAATGACCTTTACGTTTTTCTCAATTTCGAATCCAGTCTAGGTCACTTAAAAAACAAATTTTCACCAGAAAACGAATGACCTTTCTCTGAAAAATTTGCGAGTCCACTCTTCGTCTTAAAAAAAATTCAAATTTTCACCCGAAAACGAATCACCTTTCCATTTTTCTTCGCCCTGAAAAATTTGCGAGTCCACTCTCTATCACTAAAAAAAACTCGAAATTTTCACCGGAAAACGAATGAACTTTCCGTTCTTGCCGGAAAAATTTCCGATAAAAAATCCAAATTTTCACCGGAAAACGAATGACCTTTTCGTTCTTCTTCTCTTCCAAAAATTCTCCGTCACAATTTAAAAAAACGCAAAAAATTGTCCTTCTCCTCACAACTTCACTTCAACGCCTTAAAATTTCTCAAGTTCTCCTTAGCGAAAACGAATGACCTCACGCATTTCTTCTCCACTGTGCAAAAACCTGTGCCATCCTACCAGCCCGACTGCACCGGGATGAATGAGAGGAAAATCCGAGCTTCTCTCTCTCTATTCTCTTGTCCTCTTGGAGGTCACAAATTCTCTTCTCACCAACTTTCTCACAAATTAACTCCTCCGTTGTAAAACACTTGTTGAACTGACTGGGCCAAGTTTTCAGCCGACTTTCTCCCGGATTTCGAAACGTCAAACTTTCTCCATAAACCGCAATCAAACTTTGTCCACTCCACCACTTGTGTACATCGTCGTCAAACTTGGTCGTCCAGTGAATGTACTCAATTTATCGTCAAGAAGTGGGTCCGTGCAGGGAAAATTTGGCCAAAATCCACCCCATAATTGTCGCCCAGCCCCCAACTTGGAAAACTTTGCGACGTGTCACCAAATAACCCAGCCAGATTCCAGCTCGACCACAAGACGGACGTGGGAATTGAATAACGACAAGGTAATCCTCATCCAAAGACTAACAACTTATTTCTAAATGGACGACGACGACGACGAAAACGACGGTAAACAGTAAACTTGTCGAGTGGCTGGCAGGACTGGATTTGACGAGAGGATAAAAAAATACTCGTCGAGAGAGAAGAGACAGAATCCACTTGGTTAGTCTGTAACACTTGGTTAATGAGTGAAAGTGGTCGTAGGAGCAGAATTATTATTATTATTCGGAGATAAAAGGGCCGTTCAATCACTTCGGGGAATAAAAATCACAAGAAAAGTAATGATTTACATGTTAAAGAATTAAAAATTCCGGCTTAAATCGTCTCATGTAACATATTTATACGCACTTATGTACAAATCCACACTTTATTAGTAAAAATATATAATCACTTATGCTCGAAAATTGGAAATTTCACCTTAAATCGTGTCACTTGAGGTAGAAAAATAACATTTACACCAGAAGTTCAATTTATTCTTATTTCAAAAAAATTAGTTGAGCAAATCGTAGCACTAAAATTTCCTTAAACCGTTTTTCCTCATAAAACTACATACGAGTCGTAATAATAAATAATCACTTGAGTTCCAAATGTCCGTCTTTTATGCATGTACGGTCCGTGGTGGTGGTGGTGTTGACTATGAAAATAATAATAATCCCAGTCCTCTCCTCCACGAGGACAATTACATTTTTCGAATTACCACCACTCCACCAGACAGATGACAAGGTTTAGAGTTGAGCCCCTCAATCCAATATAGCTCTCACCACAACCTCCCAAATTCTCACCAAATCCTTCTCGCCAAAACACCTCGCCAATTTCACTCACACCACCACGAACTAATTCCTCGCAAAAATCCTCCCTTTTTCGCACACATACTTAAGAACTTGTGTACTTCCACATGACTCAAAAACCCAGCCAGCGAATCGCCACAGTTTTTTAATCAGTTTTGTCCGACTCACTCACTCGATATTATTTATTTTAATACTGGAATATCGTCAGTCAGTCAGTCATCATGGAAGTAGTGGTGGTGGTGACGACGACGAGGTAAATAGCTTGATAAGCACCAGGATAACCTGGATGGGTGAGGAGGATATATGAATGATTTTTTTTCTCCATGGCTTATCTTGTCTTATCGGGGAGAGAGTATTTATTACTCAATTTCTGCCCATGGAAGCGAGATAAGTTACACACGGGAGGGTGGGGATGTGCGGGAGGGATGTGTACCGTATTTTTTACCAGGTAACGAGATCTTAAAATGAGACACGTGCTTTATGCGAGACGTATTCGCAGAAACGAGATTCGCACACAATTTTGGAACAAGTAAGTGCAGTAGTTTCACTGAATTTGAGTAATATTTTTTTGTTGCAGAAATTTTGCATGTTTTTTTTAACATGTATGTATATATTGTGGTTTCTGTGGATTTTATTCCCATATTTTTAGTATTTTTTTTTATTGAGAAATGCGAAATTTTTATTGTCAAATTTGCAACTATTTTAATCTTGGTTTCTATGCATTTTTATTACCAGGTTTTTAATATGTTTATTACGAAATGTACAAATTTTGCAATTTTTTTCAAAACATTTACATATCTTGGTTTCCATGCATTTTATTTACAGATTTGCATTTTTTATTGCGAAATGCTACTAATATAAATTTGCATAAATTGTATAGTCTTGGTTTCTATACATTTTTGTATTTCCACATTTTTAACAAGCATCGATTTCTTCCAGGTTAATTTACTTACATTATTTCTTTCTATATGAAAATTTGGGACGAAAAATGGAATCTCGTAACAAAATGGTAACCCAAACTATGTCAAAATTTAATTTTTGCGCATGTATTTTTGCACCCGACTTGTTATGCATTTGAAACAGAAATAGTGGTCAATCGTGATCAAACTACGGGATGATTTTAGCCAATTTTTTTTTACGTGCGACGATATTTTTTGAGACGGGATGAGAATGATGACAGAGAGGAGGAGACGATGCAATTAGGCAAGTCATTCCTATTTGCATATGCCTCACACTCGACTTTGTGTCAAGTCTCGTTATCTATTTCCACTCGTACAAACCCTCCGCGTTTCTTTATTGTCCCGATCACTAATCAAAATGAAATTCAATATTGACAGGATTACTGAATTGCCAAAAGAGTAAAGATGGACAAAAAATAGGGGGTATTCATTAGTCTCGGGCACGTTGAAAAAAATGGGACGAGTCGAAAATTAACAGGGTTGCGTAAAAACTAAAATTTACCAGGGAAGTAAAACTGAATTTTTCATGTTTTACTACGATTAAAATTTCTGGGAAATGTGGAAAAGTGCATTTTTCTCCACATTTTATGGAAATCTCCCTTAACAAGTACCTGTTTCAGGTGCAAGTAAATGCTTGCATAAAATAACGGAAAGAAAGTGCTTTCTTGCAGCTACTTCGACATGAAAAAAATGCGAGGCGCAATAAAATACGCAATAAAATGGCTAGATGCCGCTGTATGTTTCTTGCACTTTCTTGCGTTTTTTGTTTTGCGCTGCAAGAATTAACGGTGAGAAAGTGCTTTTTTTGCAGTTAAAGATTTTTGCTTCCAAGAAATATAAGACGTTTAAGAAACCATTTCCCGCCGCTGTACTTCAAGGTGCGTGTGGCTAGATGGCGCACGTTTCTGGCAGTTTCCTGCACCTCACATTTCTTGCGTTTCTTTCTTTGCATGTAGTGGTAGAAATGTAGTAAATTTGTAAGTAACGAAACCCTACCGATCTTTTCCATTTTTCCCACGGTAAAAACCACCACCACCCCTTCTCAAAAATATGCATCATGCTGAACAAACCCTGTCGAAATTTCACACAAAGTTAAAAGACTATCTCTCTCTCTCTAAACCGTGTCTCGTAACTCAATAAACCCAAAAGCGACCATTTAACGATTAGATGTGCGAATTAAGAAAACCTGGCCGGCGTTTTACACCTCGTCACCAGTCACTCTCCTGAAATATTTATGTATGTCAGGCAAGGATATTTACCATACATACGTAATTACATAATACGCAATTATCGTTAATATCACCCCCTCGATAAGTGTGCATATTATGATGCACACTTATCTGCTTTGACATGTCCGTGTGTTTGTTGACTTTTCTAAGAATAAATTCCATGCCGTGTCAACAAGCACGGGGCGACGTGAATGAATACGCATCCATCCATTACTGACAATTACATAATGATACACTCTAAATAATTACGTGATAATTTACACATATTTCTCGAAAATTTAGACACATTTTAAAACAAAACAAGGCATTTGAATTTAATCAAATAAATCATTATTCGATTTTAATTACGAATTAGGTATCAATTTTATTAAAATATTTAGGTGGCGTTTTGCCGAAAGGGCTTCGCTTTTATTCTCACAATGTTCAGAATTTCTCTCCACATTTTACTCTCCAGGTTTGCACAGGATAAAATTTGCACAAAGTTTGCAAAACAGACAGTCGAAATAGGTGCTTCGTTTCTCTCGGGTTTGCCACATTTCTTGGACTGCATGCGAAATGCACGAAATTGCAAAAAAGTGACAGAAATTTGCGCCATCTAGCCACACGCCCTACGAAATATAGCGACGGGACGTAGTTTCTTGTGCCGTGCATTTCTAGTAGGCTGCAAAAAAACACTTTCTCCCGTGATTTCTTGCAAGTGGTTCAGGGTTCGGAAAAACCCAGGGTTTTAATCAAAAAGTAACGACCCAGGGGTTTTAATGGGTTTTAATGGGTTTTTTGGGTTTTAATGGGTTTTATGGGTTTTATTGGGTTTTATTAGGTTTTACATAAGTAATACATTGAACAACAATTTTCACTACTATTGCAATCCAATTTCAATTAATACGCAAATCCTACTTGTCCATGTTAGAATTTGTATCCGTTTCGAAATAGTCTTGTTTAACTGATCATAGTTTAATACTTTATGAGAATATATATTACCTTTTTCTCGAATACTTCCTCTCATCATAATGAAATCCAAGTTGTTTAAAAATTTTTAAAATTTAATATTTCAATGCGATCTTAACGTGTATTATCAATTCTGGAAAAAATCGAGTACTTATGAACAATGAAAGTACGTATGTATTGAGAATATAATAAGTGCTTTTTACAGACACACTTCTTTTGCTCATAATAAGGTACTTCGCTGTCCATAAGTACTCGAATTTTCCAGAGGTGATAATTAAGATCACCTTGAAACATTTTAAAAAACTTTATAAATTAAAAAAATACTACAGTATTTTGTTTAATTTATTCGCTGAGATGAGAGGAAGTATTCGGGAAAAAAGTATTAATTATGACAGCAAAATGTAAATTAAATGTAATTAAATTATGTATGCTGAGCATACTATGCTCAGTTAAACATACCTCGTTCCGAAATTATTATTTTTAAATATTTTTGTCACTTGAAACTTGTAATGGCACTCGCTGATTTATTCCTGGTTTTTAAAACTTACAATATTAATCGAATAAACTGCTTAGCTGCCATGAAACAACTTCGTCTAATGTACGACAGCTGTTTTCAGATTTTAGAATATAGTTTTAAGCTGAAACACAGTTAAAACCCATTAAAACCCGAATAAAACCCATTAAAACCCAAATAAAACCCATTTAACATGGTAAAACCCAATGGGTTTTATTCGTTAACAACCCATTAAAACCCATTAAAACCCAAAAAACCCAACCCAATAAAACCCTGGGTCGGAATACCCTGAAGTGGTTATTAGTTACACCTGAAACACTGCTGGAAATAAACCGCAAATATGCAGATGAAAAAATGTGCAGAAGTTCCATTATCTACGCACACTTTCCAGTCTCATTGCTACCAAAGCGGTGATAATAAAGTGTCCTCGAATTATTAAGTGTGACGATAATCCCCTTCCTCCTACATTCACGGACACACAATGCAATGCAGAATGAAGTAGTAAAGCTAAGAATAGGCAGAAAAAAGGCGACGCGAATCCTAAAATTAGCCGGATTTTGACTTGGTCCATGTGGTTCGTGAGTTATAAATATGATTTCACTCACCATTTTCCGGACCCTGCGTAAAGAACGAGGCATAAATTTGTATACAGCTTGTCAGCAAGTGACTCACACCACATTCCTTGTGCACAACCTGCCTCCAACCAGTCTGCATTTCTTACTTTTCCATTTCCATTTAACAAAACGAGTTATTCATCGAATTTCCTCAAGAACAAAAGAGACAACGAATGAAAAACAATGTAGAGTTCGAGTGAGAAATCCATTAAGCGGGCTGTGCAAAAAGGAGGTCGTCTCCCTTGTCTAACGAGTCGAGTTGAATTGTCGTGTCGTGTCGTCACTGTCGAATTTTGCAGTAATTGCTAAAAACTCCATGCATATTGTGTTCTGCGTATTTTTTTTGCATAATCCTGTTCAAAATTCTGATTCGTCGGACTTTTGGATAAGCTATCCATCCGAACCGAATCCGAATCATTCGGTTCGGCTTGAATATTTTTTCAACCGAAAGATTCAGATTCGGTTCGGATGGATGTTTTTAACTCAAAATTTTGGAATTGATTTGGATGGATTTTTTTCAACCGAAATATTCGGATTCAATTCGCATGGATTTGAAAAAGCGTCCAACCGACTCAACTTTGACTGGTTTTATTCTCTAGGACCGAATGTGCATAACTCAACCCGGTACACTAGATATTTGCATAAATCTCTCCGCATAAAGTTTTTGTGTAATTTTTTTCAGAAAATCCGGCCAAATTTTTGTAGATAATCGGGTAAGTTTTCTTCACTAAAACCGTTAATTTTTTTTTCTCCCGGGAGGGAAATAAATTGCACAAAAAAGTGATACGCTATTACCGCACGGTCCTCGAATAAATGTCTGTGTCAAACAATAAATTTCATGCATGGTCGAGGTGTAGGTGGAGTTGAAGGTCGCAAGGAACGTTGCTGAATGAATATTGGATGCAATCTTTTACAAAAAAACGACAAGATTTTTTTGCTAGTCTGCTACAAATACTCATT